TGCACGTGCTATGCTAACTTAGCAAGTGTCTATATAAAGGTAGTTCAGGTGTGAGTTTATGTGACAGCCTCATTTCTGCCTCACAGGAAGCCTCAGCCAGCGAGGTATGTTTATGTATTTATATCATTTTTATGGCGTATTTGTGTCTTACGTTTGTGTTGTATTTTGGTGTTGGTGTCAGCGAAACAGTGACGTGCGGTCAGGTGAGGCAGGTGAGGCACCTTTCATCACAGAAATGAAAGAAAAAATATAATAATAAAATAATTGAAATTGTTATCTTCATCCGGTGGTTCAGAAATAGTTATTTTTCATGTAGCTTCACCAATTTGGATGATTCTTTCTTCAAAATCGCTGAATTTTCTTCATTTCCCATTGAAATGCTTGGAAGCCTCACCTGGGATTGCGCATCCCTGGCTAACTGGCTGGCTGCTAAGCGGAGAGCATGTTGCTGTACGGCGTCCATGAAATGGTTTAGACATATTTAATATGTGAACTCAATCATTTAGCTCATGTATATAATGTACAGTGCTTTTGTCACCAACTGTGTTTGTGTAACGTGTTTCGAGTGCTGAGCGATTCTAAACGGCAGAGAACAGGTTGGAGGTGAGGCAGGCAGTTCTCTGGCCTCATGGCAGGGGGCGCTCAAGATCCCAGACATTCGTCTTGTCGCTCCACAACTGCAGAGCAAGTGACAGCGAGCTAGGCTAACCGATACGGTAAGCAAGTCAAGTGCAGCGATATTTTATTAGAGCTAGAGATAAGGAGCACTTCTATCGCAAAGTGACGGATGTTTCTGTGCAGAAGGAGCGACGCACGGACTTCATGTAGAAGTAAAGGTAAGACAGCAATAACATTAGTTTTTTAAGGAAATGTGCGTTTTATGAGCTACAGTTTAAATGTGTAAAGGGTGCAGAAGTGAAACATAACCTGTCAACGGCTGTCAATCTATGCATCTATTTGCAAATCGGATTCTGATGACGTCAGAGCCTCACCAGTGATGAACCTCACCGCACGTCACTGCAGGGAAACAAAGTGCAGCTGTAACAAGAACAACTTTAGTTTCATGAAAGATGACTGAACACCAGCAGTGCAACAAACTCCTCATTGCCAGTAAGAACAGGTGGAAGTGATACTATCATACAACTTATTTGTTTCAAAAAAATCTAATATTGCCTATATCCTCTGCTTCCTATACTATTTTGCAATAAATCAACAATGTCAAATTTAATTTTCACGTTACTGTTGTTCCTAATTAACTAGTTTCTCTGAATCTGGTAATTCCTGCAACACACAGTAACATGTTAAATGATACATGCATCATGCTATTTGCACTAGGCTTGATATGATTGACCTTTGTTAACCTCTGGAGAGCTCAATAGCATTAAATTGTAATTTGACTCCACAGCGCCCCTAGTGTATTCCAACAACTCTGTGTCCTCAATACATCAACCGATCTGCACCAGATTTTTTGTGCATCATCAGGGATGAGTCGACAGACTGATGTGTATCGCCTGGTGGACAGATGCAGGATCTGCACGAAAGCGTTTACGTGGCGCAGGTGGCGTTGAGGGAGCGGCGCTGAGCAGCCTCCAACGCTGCTTACAGGTGATTATAATTGAAATTGAGGGTTAGGGTAGGGAACTGAAAAAAGCTAAGACGGTCATTGGTGAGTCTGAGCGGAAATTGTTCTGCCTGAGACTTTACAGCTGTTAAGTCTCAGTGTCAAATTTAATTTGACACAAATGCCCTCTGCATTGTATGAAAATGCAGAGGGCATGAACCAGATCTCCTCACAATAAGTACCTATTTATTCACTTTAAAATTTGCCACAATCAAAGGACAAATATCTAAAATCTATTTAATTTGAAGGTCATGTCTGGAGTTTAACTGGTTTCTTTTTTTGTTTGGTCTAATGGTAAAACCTCTTCTCCTCTGCCTCCCCACGGTCCGACCGTTATGTCTGCTGGGGAGAGGGCCTCCCTGCTTGGGCTGCTGACCCCGTGACCTGACCCCAGATAAGCAGAAAATAAGATGGACGGACGGACGGACGGACGGACACTGAGGCTGAAAAAAACAAAGAAGAAAAGAATCAATTAAATTTTTGACCAAGGATAACAACATTTGGAAAATCTGTGTGGCTTCTCGGAACATACAAGAAAGTTTCCTGGAGCCAAATGACAAAGGAAGACGGTCATTTTGGATCAAAGTCACCATTTTGTCTCTTTTACACATGGATTTTAGCATACTTGTTCTACACCTTGTGATATCCAGATTGCAAAATCACTCAGCACACTGTTGAGGCATCAGAGATGAAAAGTTATCAAAAGCTTTTTTCTGCAACAAAGCACGTGGGTGTGGCCAAGCCTCAAAATCGGACTGTTTGCCACGAAACATGGTGGAATAACACAAGCTCCCAGCGCTATGAAGCTTTCTGTTTCAGGGCAGCACACCTCACGGTCACATGGCCAGTTGGTGACATCACCCTAGCCCTGCCCCCTCCTACCTTGGCAGTCAACTATTTTGCTGATGACATCGTCTTTTACATTCTGACTGAGAAATTTCAAACTGAATCTGGCGACAGAACAAGGTGTTGTCGAAGCTGAAAGCTGATTGGTGGACGGGCCGTGTGGGGAAACCAGAGTGGCGTCTCGCGATTCCTCGCGGTTTCCATACGGTTGGCTGTAACTCGCACATGAATGATCCGACTGGCACCAAACTGGATCTGAATGATGTTTGCCCTAGTGGACGCATGTGGGAATGGCGTGAGGCTGTTGCCAATGGAGAAGGGGTGGTGGTACAAACCCACTGACCGCCATAGGATGTGATTCACATAACCTGCCAGCCTCCTCGGTGGAAGAACCTACCTAAAGGTTCTGGGAAGTGAGCTTCTGGAGGAAACGTGTTCATCAACCGATAATTGATTTGACAGGGCCGTTTTGTTCTGGGATGTCTTCGCAGATGTTCTTTGTTCTCTGGACAAAGAAGAAAATGAGGAACGCTTCACGAATTTGCGTGTCATCCTTGCGCAGGGGCCATGCTAATCTTCTCTGTATCGTTCCAATTTTAGTATATGTCCTAGAGAACTAGGACAGTAGCACACCGTCTCGGAGGAGTATTTGTAGTCCTCTGGTCCACCCCCTTCTCCACAGCGGTTTTACTTTCACTTTCATAACAAGAGAAAACCTCCAAACATGAAGGTTTTTGTAAAATAAACTTTTTCTTCCTTCCTGTACTTGACTACTTTAAAAAGATATACTATCCACATATTTGTTGTTCATTCTTGTAACTTGGTCGTTTCTATGCACAGATGCATGATGGGTAATCATGGACTCCATTACAAAGTAACCCTCCAGCTGAATTCACAAGAACCAGAGCTTTGACAGCAAATGGCACACTCAAAGCTCTCCCTGCCATCAAATGTGATTGTGAAAGGTAAATATGAGCACATTAATATCATAAGGCAAGACTGACTGAGAACTACAGGAAAAAAACGGTCTGCTGCGGTTAAACGGAGCCATCCGATGTCTGGTCTATGACTGCCATCTGCTGGACAGACCGAGCACTGCAACGCCCACAGTAACCCTGAAGTTCTCAGCAGCGTTACTCTGGTTTCTGGGGCAGGAGGAACCCACAAACCAACGTTCAAATGTAGTATAAATACTGCAAATAAACCCCTACCCGCTCCCAACAAAACACAAGAAACCCTGGTGTATTCCCTTCTGATGACCCAAAAAATCCAGAAACCATCAATTATAACTGAAAGAAGAAACTAAAGCAGCAACTGAAACAAGGAATTACAGAAAACTACAGGAAATCAGAAAATTACAAGAATAAAGTTAGAATATTAAAAGGATAAAATTGTAATGAGAATAAAGTCAGAATACTTCTAAAATAAATTCATAATCTGCAGCATCTCAATGTTAGAGCGGAGAAGGGCTTACTTTGCTCAAAGTAAGCCCAACGCCAGCCAATCGGTGCTTGCTTCATGTCCGGGTGGGCCAATCACATCCCGAGCTGGTGGCTCACTGTGGCTTACTTTTGACCAATCAGCTTCCACGATCTGGAGCATTAGAAAAGCTAGGAGACAGAAGCTAGGATCATTTCAATCAATAATTCTTTGAAATAGTTTGGCGATCGGTAAGTTTAAATATGTTTTTCTTTGCAACAGCTCAGTGTATGAGATTCCGTGTTTATTAGTTAGCGTAACATGTCACTGCGGGGAGGAGAACGACACCGGGGCTTCCTGTGGGATTTTTTTCCACCCCGCCAAAAAACAGAAAACATATAAATTGCACATAATTCTGTAAGACGATTCCACCAATATGTGTTATTTCTTGTCATCAATAAATGTATTTTTGTCCGCCTATAGCAACGCGTTGTTTTGCCGGGTCCTGCTGTCCACAGTGTGGGCAACATAACGGAGCTACAAATGATAACATCCTGCATTATTTTATAATAAATCATACTGCTATGTGGTCTTGATTCAGAGTATGCCGAGTGAAAAAAGCGGCATGAATCCAGTGTAATGATTGTGTTATTAATTAAAGTGATATTTATATGTAATTTTGAATACTTATTTATGCTTTTTCCCTGTCAGAACCTGCATGCATATCCAGATCTCCGCAGAACTCCTCAGGGTCAGCTCCTTATGGGCCCAACTGAGGAGGCAAACCGGAGTGAAGGTGCTGTGGCAGGGAGGGCCTGCCGTAAGGAGGTTCTGGCTGAAGCCACTGCTCTTGTGAGGCAGAGTGGAGGGGATCCGACTGACCAGTTCTTGGTTCTGGCCCACTACAAGACTCAGTTTGGGAAGTACCAGGGCCAGAGGTTCCAATGGATACTTGAAAACTCACTGGGCTATGCAGTGGTCAGCAGCATGATGAGAGAAGAGGAGAAGGACAACCCGCTGTCGGCCATAAACACCTGCTCCTCAAGTACAGCTCCCAGATCAAGGAGTGGGAAGCTGTGGAGGTGTTCCTGAGGAAGCAGGCTGTACTCCTGGAGGCCCAGAAGACTGGTGACTCTGGGTGTCTGAGTTGGGAGACTTTAAAGGCAGGTCCATGAAGGAGGTGTATGAGGACCCCAGCAGGGAGGCCCAGGCTCTCATCAGCTACCTGAAGAAGGCCAACGCCCGGCCGAACACCAACATGGCCCTTTTCAAAGCCTACGTGCAGAAGAGACAAGCTCCGTCTCCTGCCCACCTGCACACCGTCACTGCATCCTCCTCCACCTGCTGCCAGTCAGAACAGGCCCCTGATGGCTGCCACTGTAAAGGCCCTGTTGGCACACGGGAAGCATTTGTCTCCTTCACAGCTGGCACACAAAATACTTTCTCCATCCAAAACCTGTACGTACTAAATGATCCTCAAAACCATCCTTTTTAACCTCATGCAGCGTGTGAGGTTAAAAAATATCTTTTCTAACAGCTGCAGTCCCTCGTTGTCTGAGTCCGCTGCCCGGAGACGGCTCTTTACCCACGGTGAGTACCGGGTCATGCACACAGTGTCAGGTCCTGGCTTGTTCTGGTGTTTGTTGGTAATTTTAGTTTTGATTTCTGTTTGACTTATTCTTTGATTAGACCAGCCTTGTTCTTGTTTTACTTTACTTCAGCCCTTCAGTATGTTGTTTTTTCCAGTTATTATTTGTTATTGTTGGATTAATAGTTCTTGTTTGTTTGTGTTCTCGCCTTTGTGCCAATTTATCTCTCTCTCTCTTCTCAGCCTGCAACCTGCCAGGCAATCTGCTCAGTAGTAGTTCTGCCATAGTTAGAACTATTGATTTTCATGAAACTTTCATCAGCTACCTGCAGCCTCTGTCTCTACATTTGGGTCCACTTTAAAATGAACAAATCAGGACACACAGATGTGTTGATGATGTGTGCTTAATTGTGTTTTATTTTACAGATGCTCCTCCTGCTGCTGCTGCTGCTGCTGCCGCTCCGTGCCTTCCCATCCCCGTGTTGCAGTCCCCTGCAGAGCTTCCTGGTCGCTGGAAGGAGCACCTCCCATCCTTCCAGCAGGACTGGATCAGGAAAGCTATTTTTTGCCGAAATGCAAAAACTGGGAAGACGGAGCTGAGGCCCCATCCTCAGTTCTGGTGGCATCCACCTCAGCCCCCGACTGTCTTCACTCAGCCTCCGGCCTCTGCAGATGTCTTCTTCTCCCGCCCTTTGTTTCTCTGGATGCCCCTAAAGATGTGGTCCGTTCCACTTGTCTGTGTCCAGCCGGCCTGCAGCAGACCGTCCGCAAGGTGTTGGACATGGACGGGTGGTATGACCTGGCCACGGAGTATCTGGAGTGCAAAGGATGCAAGAAGAAGAACCGGCTTGGTCAGAGGACATCGTAAGGCAGCTGGACCTGGGGCACCGCACCAGATTTCCTGCCGTCCTCACATACAGGTAAAGCACACTGATGATAACAGCAATGCATTTGAATGTGCTTGTGCTGTGTAACATGTAAAGGGCTACTTTCATGCTTCACTGGCATTAAAGGACACGTGACACAGACACATGTGCAGATACGCCTGTGACATCCGCGTGGTGGTGCTGATGCGGGAGAGGAGCCGGGGGAACAGTGTCACACAGCTGAATCACAAGTTGACGGAGGAGCACAGGAATATCTCACAGCCTGTGAGCCCTTTGCTGACTCGTCCGTCATCCAGCCGCCATTGTTCTCCAGCCTCTGCTGCTTCTCCCAAACCCAAGTGGCCGCTGTCCGCGTACGCCAGGACGTGCTCTCGCGGCTGCCCGAGGTCAGGGCCAAAATTACATCTGTCTTTGGCTCCGTCCTCAAAATGGACTCCACCAAAAAGGTACAAAACAGTTTGAATGTAGTTTTAATTTACAGTTTTGGTTCTCTGGCTTCATTTGCATTGTTGCTTTCATTTTTTAGGTCACCAAGAAGCTGGCCGGTGCCGCAGCCAACACCGCCGGCTGCTGGACCAATGTCAGCAATGAGCACGGCCAGGTCTTGGCGTCTGTCCTTGCAGCCGCGGAGGGGCGCGGCCTTTGGCCTATGGCAGCAGGCTTGGTGAGGTGCTACCGGGAGGCGGGAGCGGCACCGCCCTCTGTGATGTACGTGGACCGGGACCGCTGCAGCCCGCAGGCTCGGGGCCAGGCGCAGGTCGCAGCGATGTTCAGCGCCTGGACATCTGGCGCTTTATGCGTCGGTTTGCAGCAGGCGGCATCACGGAGGCTCACCGGCTCTACGGCACCTTCATGGCGCCGCTGGCCAGGTGAAGGTGGAACTGTGGCATATTTAGTCATTTTTAGCCTCATATTAACATCACTGCCAACACAGCAGGTCTGGGCTTCATGTGTGCAAAGCTCCATGAAACGAGACAGAATATAATTAAATGCCGTTGAATAAAATAATGTCAGAAATGTAAAGTTGATTTCAGTTAACAGATGCAATTGATTACATTGGCAGAGCATGTTGTCAACTAACATCTAGAGTCAAACTATAAAGTAGCTTCAATCAAACCCAACCCTGACCCCCATCACCCCCACAGCCCCACCCCATAGGTGGATGTTTATTCTGTAAAAATGTAAATAGATCTTTTTACTTGTGTATTTTTTGTTGTGATTTTTTTCTCCAGTTTCTAGAACAAGATACGATTCATTATAAATAAATCTTGTTCCCAGAATCACTTTGTTGTTGCTTTCAGTTTTGGATGCAACGTTTACTGAACAGCAGGGCTCAGGCAAGGTGCTGCTCATCGCCTGAACTTTGACTCCTGTGGGATTTCAGGCTCGTCTGTGAGGTCAAAGTGCAGCCTAAGGTCAAAGTGCAGCCTAAGGTCAAAGTGCAGGCACATTGAGGTGTCAGGTGTTAAGTTCTCATATTGTGACTGATTTATTTCCCTCTGGTTTTTTCTTCTCTTGTGCGTCACGGTGGGTGACGTCAGTGAACGTATCACGTGCGTCGCTCGGATCAGCTGACCGCGGTGTTTCCGGGTTTATTTCTCGGACGTCGTTTCGGTCCAGGCCCGGTTCGGTTCTGCACAGGTTTGTTTTTCTGAACTTACTCTGACAAAAAGCGACCAGAATGACGGTCGGAACCATTCGAGTCCGTTTGGGCCACACTTGAAAGTCGGTGTGTTCGGTTCTGTTGAGGCAGGCGTTACCAGTGCGGTTCGGTTCGGTTAGACAGTAGAGTTCCGGTTCTGTTGCACCGTAAGGTTTGTTCCTATCGGTTCTGTCGGAGCAGGTAGTACTGGTTCGGTTCGCTGTAGCAGTCAGCACAGGTTCTGTTGGGTTCTGCCGGTTCTGTTGGGTACAGCAGGTTCTGTTGGGTTCTGCTGGTTCTTTTGGGTTCTGCAGGTTCTGCTGGGTTCTGCTGGGTTCTGCTGGTTCTGTTGGGTTCTGCTGGTTCTGTTGGGTTCTGCCGGTTCTGCTGGGTTCAGCAGGTTCTGCCGGTTCAGCAGGTTCTGCTGGGTTCTCCAGGTCCTTTTGGTTTCAGCTGGTTCCGTTTGGTTCTGTTTGCAGTGATGAGCGTGTCGGACAGTGATGAGGAGCTCTACAACGAACGGACCGCCCTGGTTCCCGCCCAGAACCCTGCGGTTCCGTCCTACCGACCCGACCCGGAGCTCAGCCCCACCGAGGACTCCGACAGTAAAACGGTACTGGCCCGGTTCTGCTGACCGTGTTTGAGGACGGTGTCGGTCCTGACGGGTTCTGGTCCCCTCCCAGGCCGGGCGGAGCGGCGGGCGGAGCGGTCCGGCCCCAGGGGCGGAGCCTGAGGACGAGGAGGAGGAGCCACTGAAGTACGGCGCCAAGCACGTCATCATGCTGTTCGTCCCCGTCACCCTGTGCATGGCGGTGGTGGTCGGCACCATCAAGTCCGTCAGCTTCTACTCAGAGAAGACCACGCAGCAGCTGTAGGTCCGCCGGGTTCTGGTCTCGGTTCTGGTTCTGTCTCACCCGGTCTCTCTGCAGGATCTACACGCCGTTCAGCGAGGACACGCCCGATGTGGGCCGCCGGCTGCTGCACTCCGTCCTCAACACCGCCATCATGATCAGCGTCATCGTGGTCATGACCGTCCTCCTGGTGGTGCTGTACAAGAACCGCTGCTACAAGGTAGGACAGGGACCGGACCGGGTCGGGCCGCACCGGGCGAGATCGACCTGACCCGACTCATCATGATCAGCGTCAAAAACACAATTATTTATATTTTTGTGGCGGCTTTACTTTAGAGTTTGTCTGTTCATCAGTAAACCACTTCCTGTCGACTCAACATTTTGTGACATGAAACCACGTTGGGTGGATCTAGCGCCCCCTAGCGCCACTGCCAGCAGATTTTCGGACAGGAAACAATGTTTCTCCAGCAGACGGTCCAGCTGGTTCCGCTTGTGATCCACATTAATGTAACCGGGTCATCGCAGAGAATCGCTGCCTTGGTTCTGAACTAGAAGCCGGTCCGACCCGCTGAATGTTCTGGGTCCCTTTCGGCCTGAAGTTCTGGCTTTTCTCTGCCTCAGTTCATCCACGGCTGGCTCATCCTGTCCTCCCTCATGCTGCTGTTCTGGTTCAGCTTCATGTATCTGGGGTGAGTTTCCGGTCTGAAGGATCCAGCCGGCCCGATTCTGGTTCTGGTCCATCAGCAGGCTCGTCCTTTTGTGCCATCAGAGAAGTTTCGAACCTACAACGTGGCGGTGGACTACCCAACAGTGGCCATGGTGATCTGGAACTTCGGCGCCGTGGGCATGCTGTGCATCCACTGGAAGGGGCCGCTGCAGCTGCAGCAGGCCTACCTCATCCTCATCAGCGCGCTCATGGCCCTCGTCTTCATCAAATATCTCCCCGAGTGGTCCACCTGGGTCATCCTCGGCGCCATCTCTGTCTACGGTGAGTCCTGGAACGCCGTCACCTCCTGCCTCGCCGACATAGCGCCTCTAACTGTTCTCAAATCATCCATTGGTCCCCTGCAGACCTGGTGGCCGTCCTCAGTCCAAAGGGACCGCTACGGATGCTGGTGGAGACGGCTCAGGAGCGCAACGAACCCATCTTCCCCGCCCTCATCTACTCCTGTAAGTCCTGAGTCTCACCTGGTCGGCATGATAGGTCTAATAAAAGTTTGGTTCTCCATGGGGGTTGGTCAGGGTCTCGTTCTGGTCTAGTTCAGGGTTGGTCAGGGTCTCGTTCTGGTCTAGTTCAGGGTCAGTCCGGGTCTTGTTCTGGTCTAGTTCAGGGTTGGTCAGGGTCTTGTTCTGGTCTAGTTCAGGGTCAGTCCGGGTCTCGTTCTGGTTTAGTTCGGGGTCAGTCCGGGTCTCGTTCTGGTTTAGTTCAGGGTCAGTCAGGGTCTCGTTCTGGTCTAGTTCAGGGTTGGTCAGGGTCTCGTTCTGGTCTAGTTTGGGGGGATGGATCCGGGTCTTGTTCTGGTCTAGTTTGGGGTCAGTCCGGGTCTTGTTCTGGTCTAGTTCAGGGTCAGTCCGGGTCTCGTTCTGGTTTAGTTCGGGGTCAGTCCGGGTCTCGTTCTGGTTTAGTTCAGGGTCAGTCAGGGTCTCGTTCTGGTCTAGTTCAGGGTTGGTCAGGGTCTCGTTCTGGTCTAGTTTGGGGGGATGGATCCGGGTCTTGTTCTGGTCTAGTTTGGGGTCAGTCCGGGTCTCGTTCTGGTCTAGTTCAGGGTCAGTCAGGGTCTCGTTCTGGTCTAGTTCAGGGTTGGTCAGGGTCTCGTTCTGGTCTAGTTCAGGGTTGGTCAGGGTCTCGTTCTGGTTTAGTTCGGGGTCAGTCCGGGTCTCGTTCTGGTCTAGTTTGGGGGGATGGATCCGGGTCTTGTTCTGGTCTAGTTTGGGGTCGGTCCGGGTCTCGTTCCGGTCTAGTTCAGGGTCAGTCAGGTCTCGTTCTGGTCTAGTCGGGGGTCAGTCCGGGTCTCGTTCTGGTCTAGTTTGGGGGGATGGATCCGGGTCTCGTTCCGGTCTAGTTCAGGGTCGGTCCGGGTCTCGTTCTGGTCTAGTTCAGGGTCGGTCCGGGTCTCGTTCTGGTCTAGTTCAGGGTCGGTCCGGGTCTCGTTCCGGTCTAGTTCAGGGTTGGTCAGGGTCTCGTTCTGGTCTAGTTTGGGGGGATGGATCCGGGTCTCGTTCTGGTCTAGTTCAGGGTCGGTCCGGGTCTCGTTCCGGTCTAGTTCAGGGTTGGTCAGGGTCTCGTTCTGGTCTAGTTTGGGGGGATGGATCCGGGTCTTGTTCTGGTCTAGTTTGGGGTCAGTCCGGGTCTCGTTCTGGTCTAGTTCAGGGTCAGTCAGGGTCTCGTTCTGGTCTAGTCGGGGGTCAGTCCGGGTCTCGTTCTGGTCTAGTTTGGGGGGATGGATCCGGGTCTCGTTCCGGTCTAGTTTGGGGTCAGTCCGGGTCTTGTTCTGGTCTAGTTTGGGGGGATGGATCCGGGTCTCGTTCCGGTCTAGTTCAGGGTCGGTCCGGGTCTCGTTCCGGTCTAGTTCAGGGTTGGTCAGGGTCTCGTTCTGGTCTAGTTTGGGGGGATGGATCCGGGTCTTGTTCTGGTCTAGTTTGGGGTCAGTCCGGGTCTCGTTCTGGTCTAGTTCAGGGTCAGTCAGGGTCTCGTTCTGGTCTAGTTCAGGGTTGGTCAGGGTCTCGTTCTGGTCTAGTTCAGGGTCGGTCCGGGTCTTGTTCCGGTCTAGTTCAGGGTTGGTCCGGGTCTTGTTCTGGTCTAGTTCAGGGTCGGTCCGGGTCTTGTTCCGGTCTAGTTCAGGGTTGGTCCGGGTCTTGTTCCGGTCTAGTTCAGGGTCGGTCAGGGTCTCGTTCTGGTCTAGTTTGGGGGGATGGATCCGGGTCTCGTTCTGGTCTAGTTTGGGGTCAGTCCGGGTCTCGTTCTGGTCTAGTTCAGGGTCGGTCCGGGTCTCGTTCTGGTCTAGTTCAGGGTCGGTCCGGGTCTTGTTCTGGTCTAGTTCAGGGTTGGTCAGGGTCTCGTTCTGGTCTAGTTCAGGGTCGGTCCGGGTCTCGTTCTGGTCTAGTTCAGGGTTGGTCAGGGTCTCGTTCTGGTCTAGTTTGGGGGGATGGATCCGGGTCTCGTTCCGGTCTAGTTTGGGGTCAGTCCGGGTCTCGTTCTGGTCTAGTTCAGGGTCGGTCCGGGTCTCGTTCTGGTCTAGTTCAGGGTTGGTCAGGGTCTCGTTCTGGTCTAGTTTGGGGGGATGGATCCGGGTCTCGTTCTGGTCTAGTTCAGGGTCGGTCCGGGTCTCGTTCTGGTCTAGTTTAGGGTCGGTCTGGGTCTTGTTCCGGTCTAGTCGGGGATATGGATCCGGGTTTGCTCCCGATAAGTAGTTGGAGGGCTCTGATTGGTCATAACGTCTCCATCTCTCTGCAGCTGCCATGATGTGGACGGTGACGATGGCGAACCCGGCCGATTGCCAGCGCTCTGAAACAGGTCAGAGGTCAGTCGTGGCAATGCCTGCTCTGCTGTCCAGGCCTGCAGTCTAAATGCTGTCTCTATGGCAACAGGTTCAGACGAGGAGGCGGAGCTAAATGGCGGGAGGGCGGAGCCTCATCGCCAAGGGCTGAGTCCGGTCCTGGAAGAGGAGATGGAGGAGGAACGTGAGTGGAGGAGCTGCAGGCCGGAGCTCAGCCGGTGTCTGGTTAGCATGATGATGATGGCTTGTGTGTGTGCAGGTGGGGTGAAGCTCGGCCTCGGAGACTTCATCTTCTACAGCGTTCTGGTGGGAAAGGCTGCAGCGACTGGTGGAGACTGGAACACCACCCTGGCCTGCTTCGTGGCCATCCTCATCGTACGTTCAGCCATGTTGCTTTCCTTCCACTAAACTTTTCATCAATCATTTCTAGGGTCATTCAGAGTGCCAAATCAGTTTCAGATGTAAGGTAAGTTTCTTAGTCATCTCCAGGTGGTAGAAGGTTATCTAAGTCGGCCATGTTGAGGATTTGGTCTTCCTGTGTTTTCTGAGGCGAGGCTCTGACCCGGCAGCACTTCCTGTCAGAGGTAATGGTGGCATCATGTCTCTTCTACTGGATTCAACTAGGAATGAATGAGCTGAAGAGAGAAAATGGTATGGAGTGTGGTAACTTTGAGCTGGTCATGTGACTCATCATCCACCTCCTTTGCCCCTCCCTCCAGGGTCTGTGCCTCACCCTGCTGCTCCTGGCCATCTTTAGGAAGGCGCTGCCCGCGCCCATCTCCATTGCCTTTGGTCTCATCTTCTACTTCTCCACTGACTTCCTCGTTCAGCCCTTCATGGACAATCTGGCCAATCACCAGTTCTACATCTGAGACCAAGCCCCGCCCACTTCCTTATCAGTCTGTCAGGCCGTCATCTGATGACACATAAAGGCCACTTCCTGTGCAGCGTTGAGGAACAGGAAGTGATGTGATACACCCTGTGACCTTACCTGGTGGTCTGCTCAGGTGTTTGATGTATGTAGTTTGTCACTCTGCGATTGGCTGAGACCTGGCCTCTGCATCATCGACCAGGTGACCCCAGACGCTCCAATAGTGTGGAGCTGCAAAGTGGGTGGAGCCACCACTTTATTACTTCTATATCCACTACATTACCCACAATCCTCAGGTCAAGAAGTCTGATTCTTTGGACAATTCCTGTTGAAAAGCATCAAGGGAGTTGGAGTTTCTATAATGCTCACAAACATTTATACTTTTTTTCCCCTCAATGAGATATTTTATCACATAATTAAAGTATATAAGGTATGAAATAGTTTTAACAGATGGTGATCTGCCAAATTGAAGCAGAAAATAATATTTTTATAGCATTTGTCTGGGTCCTAGAAAATTGATAGTGGTGAATATGATTCCCTGTCTGTGTTTGTGTAACATTGGCCTGTCTGGGCTTCCGTACGTCTGCAAGTCGTTTCATTTTTTACTTGTTCTGTAAATGTTTCACATAAACAAATTAAATGGAGTTTTCTGGAACAGACTCAAATCTTTTAACTTCTCAGTGACTTCCTGCTCCTCGGGTCATGACCATCCTGAGCTTCACAGGATGCTGCAGCCCGTCGGGTCCGGTCGCCAGAACAGAACCGGTGTGTTCTGAATAAACGAGGCGTTCCATTTTTAAAATGTTTATTCTGGATTCTAGAACAGATTTAGCTCCGCTCCTCAAACTGGGATTTATTCTTCAGCAGGAACGCCGCCAGATATTCGATAGGGTTGGGAGGCCTGGAGAGAAACATCCACAACGTCAGAACCGGCGAGCGGTATCCGGTACCGGCCAAACCCGCGGCAGAACCCACCTCTCCTTGGCCAGGACAGACAGGCCCTGCAGCAGGATGGGAACCACGGTCTGGTCCAGGTAGGCCCGGGTCGGCAGCGCCTGCAGGTCCACCTTCTGCTTGGACAGCTTCTCCGCGCTCGCCTTCTCGTTCTCCACCGTGCGCTGGGGACCAACGACCCGACCCGTTACTCAGACACTGGTTCTGGGACCGATCTGAAGGCGGGTCGGTGGCTCTGTCCCGTCCCGAGGTTCTGATCAGGTTCTGGATCCAGAACCTTGGAATGGGGCAGAACCTGTACAGAGTAGTGAGTGCAACACAGCATGCTGGGAGATGGAGTTACCTGCAGGTTTTCTGTCAGGCCGAACTCAGCGTGAGGATTTTCAGAGACCTGCAGGAGGATTCAGGTTCAGACAGCTGTAAATAAATCATGTTTAGACCAAGTGTGTGTGTGTGTGTGTGTGTGTGTGTGTGTGTGTGTGTGTGTGGCTCACAGGTGTGTGTCCCTCCATGGACTGCTCTGGGTCTGTGTGATCTGAAAGCAGAGCAGCAGTTAGCTTAGCAGCAGTTAGCTTAGCAGCAGTTAGCTTAGCAGCAGATCTGACTCCTGATCACGGCAAACATGGGAGAACGTTCTCCTCAGACCGGAAACGCAATGCAACTCTTCACTGTGATTGGTCCTCTGACTCCAGAACCAAACTGGACCGACTCGGTTTGATCAGCTTCATGGGAACCGGCGGTTACCATGGTAACCTTCCCAGACGACTAGCCTCTTGATGAGAGGGGAGACTGGACTCAGAACCAGAACCTCCACCTGACCCCTCGGCATTGATTCGGAAATGCCCGGACTCACCGACAGAACCCCCGGAACCGGTTCTGGTTCTGTTTCAGAACAGCAGGGACAAATGCGGCTGTTTAAAGTTTGGTTGGAATTAAATCCGAGAGTAGGGGTTCGGTTTTGGTTCTGGCCTGCCTTAATTCGTACAGCTGGCCTTGACCCGGACCCAGGTCGAACCGGGCGACGTGGGTCAGTACGCGGCAGGTTGTTAGCTTAGCATCTTTCCTCTTTCCGGTAAATAAACCGGACCGAGGACAGCAAACGGCCAACGGCGGGAGACCTGAGCGGTAACGCGCCGCATGAAACCAGAACCACCGAACAACCGGACCGAACCTCCCCAGAACCCGCCGATAAGAACCATTAAAGCTCAACAATGAACTCACCGTCCGCCATGTTTGTTGTGAAGTGTGCGCAGTAAATCCGGCGTAGCTGATTCTGCTTTGACGTTACGTCAGGAACGTTCCTTCCAAAATAAAAGCAACGTTGTTTCCGGTTCCCTTTCAGAGTAATAGCATCAAAAGTAATTGATTTCAGCTGAAGAAAAAAGTAATCTGCTTTGGCCGGTCACAGTTTTTAAATTGAACTCTTTTTAAGATGAGGAAACTTCTTACTGGTTTATGTATTTGGTGTGATACTGTAGAAACGATGGAACATGTTTTTATTAGTTGTAGGAAACATGTGAATCAAAGAAGATTATTAAAAACGGAATTAAGTTTTAATAGAGAATTTAAATTTGAGAATGTGGTTAATCAGTTAAATAGTAATGAGGAGAAAGAGAAGATTAAAAAGAACATACTGGGCTCATTAGGAAAATTTGAGGCATAGATATTGGGACCCAACAGAGGGAGAAGTGCAACAATAATGCAGGCTAACTCCCGTTGAAATCTAAAGAAGAACTAATCTGCTTTAGGTCCGCAGACCGGGTTTCTGCTTGGAAAGGTTTAAAGTCCTGGCTCAGAATAAATATTCTCCATAACTTTGAGCAGGTTAATTTAATGAATGTTTTCCTATGTTGCAGTTCTGCAGAGTTAGCTTCAGGAAATGGTCCAACACCAGACAGAACCTGAGGAGCGCCCAGGTTCTTCTGACCCGGCAGCTCCTCTGGGTCGGATTCCTGCTAAATCTGAGTTTATGAAAAATGTTGCAGCTATCCTTTAAAACGTGGTTCTCCTTACCCAAACAAGAAAAGCAGAACGTTGCTGCTGGGTCAAAGTTTCGAGGTGAGGTCTGAAGGCCCCGGCCCAAATCTGGCCCGCCTTTTGTCTTCATGCGGCCCTGTGGACTGCAGAGCTGCCAGATGACATCAATGTGAAAAGATTCTCAATACTATCTCATTTCAAGAAGTATTTGTCAAATTGCAGCAACAGCTGTTTTGTCAATATTCTAGCAATCTGGTTTTATCGACGCATTCTGCCACAAATGGCCCTTTGATGATATTCATGATCTTAAACTGTCCAGAAATAAAAAACACAGAGTGGGAAGGACAGCGGACAGTCTGGGGAGAATTATAAGCCAGTTTGTGTCAACATGAATGTTAAAATCTCCCAGTCATAACTTGATCCGTTTTTAACTCCAAATCAGATTGTTTTTAATGCAAACATTAAAGTCCTGTGGACGATTCAGAACAACAAACTAAATTCATATTAATATTTCATAAATCTGAAAGAAAATTGGTTGCTACTCAGACAAGTCATAGTTTGGAAGAGTGAGTGACGAATCCATCGAACTGGAACCAGAACCGGAACCAGAACCTCAGTCCAAACTCACAGTCTGAATCAGCTTTCATGTTTATTCTGATGGAGTACCGACATTAAGACAAATAAATCATGTTTAGAGGAAATAAAAGAATAAAAGGTACATTTACATGAATATAGAACCATTTTGAAAGAAAATGAATCGGGTTGTAACATTTCAAATCTGCTTATTTAGTTTCACTGCAGAGCGGCGGCCCACTCCGTCTCTGTGGCGCCACCTGATGGCAAAAGCCTGGATAGTTTGAGCCTGGATGTGAGGGGAAGTTGGTGCCCTGGTCTTGACTCTTGACCTTTACAGAGTCCCAGATGGAGGGAGCGCCAGATGGAGGACGGCTCGGCGTTGGATTTATGCAGCGTGTGTCGGTTCTCTGAGGAGGAGGAACTGCAATAGGTACCAGTTTCACGGGTTGGGCCTCCATCCCTACAGAATGAAGGGAATGATGGCTTTCCTGGAGCGGGGGTAGTCCTCAAACCTCCGCTTATAATCCCTGGAAGAAACACAAGGAGCACCGACTCAGCCCGAGTTCTGATGCGAGCCGAAACCCAAACTGTAACCCAACCAGAACCCTTGCTCAGTGTGTCTGATCCTGAAAGTATGGGGATGACCGGTACCTGTGGTGATGGAAGGCTCTGGGCCCGATGGAGCACATGGTGAAGAAGGCAAAGGCGAAAGCTGGAAAGGACCAAGCAGCGAGGGCGAAGCCGCACCACTCAATGATCTCCCCAAAGAAGTTGGCACCAGAAACCAACTCAAACATCCCGCCTGGAAGACGGACAGCGGTCAACAGGAAGTCAGCTTCAGGCTGCAGTTCTCCAGAGTTTGTGGCGTACCGCGGGGGATCCTGTAGACCAACTCCCCAGGTTTCCTCAGGCGACGCAGGATGTGGTCACTGTGGATGTTGATGCTCAGACCGACAGCAAACACCAGAACACCTTGAAAAACAGAATCAAGACATGAAGTCCAGCAGGAGGTTCGTCTCTCCTCACCTGATCCGCCCAATTTCTCACTTTCCTATTTCAGAACCAAAGCCAAACTTCCTCATCTCATCTTTCCAAACAAAAACAAATCAATTCATGTTCTAGGTGCTTCTCGTTGTCCTCTGGTGGCTTGTTCAGCTTTTGGACTTCAGAACCCCTTCAGAACCGGTTCCTGCCGCGGCGGAGCGTCTGACCTGCAGAGAGGCGAGCGTTGGTCAGCCAGGTGAGCTGCAGGTGAGCGCAGTGCAGCAGGTGGTGTCCCTGCAGGAAGCCGTTCAGAGAGCAGAAGATGACGGAGGAGCAGACGATCTTCAGAGGAACCGGCCGTCCGCGGGTCAGCAGGGAGAACACAAAGCTCCTGCAGAACCAGAACAAAGTTACTTCAGAACATCTCCACCAAAGCCGGCTGAAACCCAGGGAGTCAGCAGGAAGAATAATCCATAATCCCAAACTAAACCCGTCTGAGACGCTGAAGCTGTTAGAAATCTGTAAATTCCCACAGGACCAGCGGCTCCTTAAATGCATCACAGCTGGATCCCACAGCAGAACCTGGTCCGCATCCAGTCAACAGAACCAAACAGGGTTTGGGTCGGTTCCATGGAGAACATCAACCACAGGTTGGAAGAGAAGGGTCAAAGGTCAAGCTAGCCTAAAGAACTGCTCCAGGTCCGCTTGGCCGGGTCAGAAGAACATGATGTCCCACTCTGCTCAGCTTTCAGCCTCAGGTGAGACGAGCTGGACAGGTGAGGACAGGTGAGGACAGGTGAGGCAGCCAGCAGGGAGGTCTGAGTGTTTTACCAGAACCAGAACCATCTTAGGTTCTGTTCAGTCCAGTTACACCTCCAGAGCCTGGGCTCTGGTGAGAGGTTCACGTCCTGGGCTCTCAGCAGGAATGACGTCATGATTCTTGACATCATTCTTAATTCCAATCAGAAACCAGAACTGATCAGAACTTTCAGACCTGTTGCTGAAAGTTCTTTTGGGTCGGCGGTTCTGATCATTAACCTTCATTAACTTCCTGTGGATACATCAGCTGATCTGACGGGAACCGTCCCGCCAGGAGGTTCGGTTCCGAAACTCTGAACCTGAGCTCACTGCGTCACTAAATCACCCAAAACACCCCGAACCTTTCCAGAGCATCCACCCGACCGGACCGACTCGGACCGGGACCCGACCTCCGGTCGGTCCCGAGGTTCTGTCGGGTCCCGGTCCAGTCGGTCCCTCTAACCTGTAGAAGTAGTGCAGCATGAAGGTCCAGACGAGCAGCGACCTCCCGGTGGCGGAGCTCGGTTCTGCAGAACCCAGCAGCAGCAGCGGAACCAGGAAGGCCGGAACCTCCTGCAGGAACCAGGCCGGGCCGGCGGGCCAGCAGCGGCCGCTCGGCTCCGCGTAGCGGCCGTACTGTCCGCAGCGGCGCGTCTGCCGCAGCAGGTAGGCCGCGCCGCCGACCACCAGGGCCCAGCTGAGGGACGAGACGGCGGCGGATCGCTCCATCCCCCGGCAGCCGCTGCTTCCGGCGCGGCCCTCGACAGGAGCCGCAGCTCAGCCAATGAGCTGCAGAGGCTGGAGGAAGAGGCAGAAAACCGGCTTCCGGTTCCACATCGACAGCCGAGCCGTGGCTCTGTGAGGTTCGGTTCTGGTGGGATCCGGGTCTCCTTTGACGTCTAGATGAACGTCAGAGGACCATCAGAACCATCTTCCTCCCAGCAGCACAGGCCCGGTTCTGACCCGGTTCTGACCCGGCTCCTGGGGGTCCAGGAGTCTTATGAAGTTAAATCTTCTTCTTCTCCAGTCCGGATGTTTAATAATATTTATAATAATATGAACAATATTTATGTTTCTGTCCCAAAACAGAAACATCATCAGTCTCATCAATGATGCTTCCTGTTCTGGTTTGTTGGACGTTTAGAGGCCAAAGGTTCACTGGGTCCATGTCCTCTGGGTCCATCCGTCCTCTGGGTCCATCCGTCCTCTGGGTCCATGTCCTCTGGGTCCATCCGTCCTGTGGGTCCATGTCCTCTGGGTCCATCCGTCCTGTGGGTCCATCTGTCCTCTGCTGGACCGGGTCTGTCCCTCTGAGCCGAGGCGACAGCAGCAAACCTTATGTGTCGCTGATTCTGAAAAAACTCTAAAAAGTGGATCATAGTGGAGGTTCTGGTTCTGGTGAACGCTGCCACCGCCTCAGCGGAACCGGCTGGGATTCGAACCGGGGACCTTGCTGCCTCCACAGCTCATCGTGAGTTTTAACCAAACTTTTTTCCGGACCTGCGTCAGACCGGAAGTCCTTCATTTAGTCACGTGATAAGGCGTGCAGATGATCGGATACCTGATATCATCTTCATCATCAGCATCTTCTTCATCATCATCATCATCAGAAGCAGCAGGTCTTCTTCTGCGTGGACCGGTTGTGTAACCGCAGGGCGAGACGCAGCCTGAAGGTCAGCTCCTGCTGCCCCCTGCTGGCGGCGGCGCGTCACCGCAGCTCCGCTCCGCCTCCATTTTGCCTCGGACAGCCGGCGGAGGAGCAGCGGCTCGCAGCGGCTCGCAGCGGACTGTCGGCCAGCGTCCCGGCGGTGGATCCAGCTCTCTGCGGCTCTGCGGCTCTCTGCGGGTTTCTGCGCCATGGCGGCGCTGCAGCGGCCCGCGGTTCGGGCGCAGCGGCTTTTCTGAGGATTTGTTCATTTAGCGGTTGTTTTGGAAGCGGAGCGGAGCAGCAGAGGGGGTTCGGTTCGGCTTCGGAGGGTCAGGTACCGGCTTTGTTCTAATTCTCCATGATTGGCTTTGAGCTGCGGCTCCGCCTGATCCGCTCAGCGGGCCGCCGCGCGCCGCCAGGCCGCGGCTGGAGCCTCTCCGGCGGCCTGGCGGCGCCGCTGCCCCCGGCAGCATCCATCCGGCCGGGGGGCCCGGGGGGGCTGCGGGGGGGTTACATAATGTGTGCGCTGTGCACGCGCAAGGCGCGCGCTCGTCCGCATCTGATGATCCACGCAGGTGGCGGATGTGCGGGATGTGCGGAGTCTCTGCGCTTTGTTTGGCTGGGAGGGCCGGTTGGGTTCGGTTCGGGCGGGTTCGGTTCGGGCCTAGCTGGACGTGCTGCGGCCCGCAGAAATCAGGTCAGTAAGTCAAAGGATCAGCCTGCTGCCAGGCCTGAAACCCGAAGGTTCGGCTCGGTTCGGTCCGTCATCTGGAACTGATGGTCTGTTTGATCCCGGTCCAACACGAGCTGCAGGTTTTTCAGAATATTTCCAGAATTAAAGGAAGGAGTTTCCATCACTGATGAGCCTGGAAAAACCTGGAAAAACCTGGAAAAACAAACCAGCAAATCTTCAACCCATCACTTCACAGCTTCCTCATTAGACCTGGTAATGGACCGGTTCTGGTTCCGAGCTGATCAGAGGCAGCAGAACAGAAACTTTTTGACTGAGAGAAAATCCACTTTTTAATCTGCTGAAAACATGAAGTCCAATATTTGAACATCAAAGCCGTTGATCGATAACCGCCACATTCTGAAGACTCTCCGTTTGGTTCCGGTCCGATTCTAAAAACGGAACCGCTGGACCCAGGACAGCACCGCTGCTCCCGACCCCCAAGAGCTCATGAAACGAACCGAAACCACAGCCAATGGCGACTGGAACGGCACATCATGCTGATTAAGAAGTCGTGAAAGCAAAGCCGACCATGAACCGGGAGGAGGAGGAGATCCCCAGATCCCAGATCCCAGATCCCAGATCCCCAGATCCCCGATCCCGGTGCTTCTGAGACGTCCAGAGGAGAAGCAACAACGTCTGTTCATTTTATCCTTTGGCCAACATTTGCACAGATCGAACTGTTTGACCCGCAGACGTAGCGCCGCGCTCCGGAAGAGCAGCAGATGTCACGGTCGGCCGACCGGTGACGCGTCAGCTCTTCAGTTGCCGAACAAGGAAACCGGCGACCCACCAGAACCGCACGCGGTGAGAAGTCCAGGCGGGATCCAAACGGCTCTTAGAACTTCGGGAGGATCAAACTCCCACATTCGCTTTCAGCTCAGAAAAAACACCAAAAGCAAACTGACCAATCAGATTCAGGCTTTCCACAACAGACTCGCTGCTTCGAGACGTTTTCACACAAAACATCATTTTCTCCACAATTTTATTAATAGAGAATAAAAAATTCCCAAAACGTTTCTTTACTTAAGGATCATCTGCAGTGTGCAGAGCCACCGGACTGGACCTGGATCTACAGAACCCAGAACATGGAGGAGCTGATGTTCTGTCCGCCGGGTCGGGAAAAGAAACAGACTGCAGCCAACAGAACCGGTTTTGTTGACCGGTTCTGATCCGTTCTACTGATCCGTTTCAGTCCAGTTGTTCAGCAGTTCTGGAGCAGAACAGAAGGTTCTAGGGGTTCTGGTTCTGTCTTCTTGAACTAAACCTGGATTAATGCAGTAATCAATGATTCAGGGGCGCAGCGGGTCGCTACCGCCGCCGCCGTGGGTTTGATTCCCGGCTTGATCTTCTGTCATTTCCTGTCACTATCGAATAAAAAAACTGAATCCAGACTGAAAGAAAATGAGATCAATAATTAAAATAAAAACATTTTCGTCTGAACTCTAGTTCTGCTTCAGCTTCACATTCTGGAAATGATTCATCAGCTTCAGCATCCAGTTATTAATCAATAATCAATATCTATTGATGTCCAGTTTTTCTCCTGTGGGACGATGAAATGAATTCATTTGCTTCTTCAAGGCGTTTCTGACGTGGAATAAAATCTGCAAACGGGATTGATTGATTGATTGATTGATTGATTGTTGGCTGCAGCTCTGACCTTCATCCTCTCTGGACGCCAAGAAAGAAACCGGGTCAACCGAGTTCCCAGAGTTCTGACCCGGTTCTGAGAAGAAATTTGGATCCGGAATGGAGGAATCCAGGGATTTCATCCATTTGGGTCCAGATTAGAACCAGAACCAGGGAGACGTTTGGATTTCAGAACCGTTCTCATGGTTCTGCAGACAGTCGGAAGTTCTGCCGGTCCTGTTCTGACCGGGCCAGCGGTGGTTCTGGAGCGGATGCTGCACCAGAACCACTTCCTGTTTCTGATCTGAGGCTCCTTATCGTTATCTGCAGGCTGCAGGCGGTCCACGCGGACCAATCAGGAGCCGGGCCTGGGAGGGGGCGGGGCCTGGACGATGAGTCATGCTGCTGGCGCCATGGTGACGGGGAGGGGGGCCGGGGGGAGAGCAGGGAGAACCCTGCTGGTTCTGGAAGCAGAACTTTTCTGGATCTTCATCAGTAATAAACAGAACCAAGCAGAACCAGACGTGGTTATCCTGGAGTGGCCGAACAGAACCGCTAGAACCTCGGCTCTCATGGTTCCTTCAGCTCAAATGGTCCAAACCGGTACCAGATGATGGTACCAGATGATGGTACCAGATGATGTCGGTTCTGGACCTTTGGCAGCCGAACACCTGGATCAGCTGCACGCTGCTGCTTACCATGGTGATGAGGACCAATCAGAGGAAAGTGCTGTGGCTCTGAATGCTAATGCTAGCCATAGCTAGCACATTAGCTGCTTTCAGCTGCTAGCTGGTTTCCATGACGATATCTGTGCAGTCCCACTTTTGATTTCAACACCTCTAAAAAATAAATAATTAGAGTTAGCATGCTAATATCACAGCTAGCATAGTTAGCATGCTAATATCACAGCTAGCATAGTGAGCTGTGGTTCTGCTGTGTTAAGCGCCTGCAGCCCAAACCTCCACCTTTAGCTCCTGACTCATATCTGTATGTTCTAACAGATTATTATTGGTGGAATATTTATGATTTATCAATCAAGTTTATTGATTAATCATATTTTCTGATTTTGTCAATGCAGACATCTTGTTTGACAAATGTTTCCATTGTTTAGACTTTAATTTCAGGTCAATTCACAGAGATCATGATCAAAATAAAAGAACATCCTTTAAAAATAATTTGTCATGTGTAGCAGAATAAAATTTAATTTGGTAAAAAAGTGATTTTATTTTTAAGCCATGTTGCCCGGCCCCAGTATGTCTCTATGTACAATATCTATGTTTCAATCTGTCTTTGACAGATTTCTGCTCTACTGTTTAGATATTGACAAATTATAGGAAATTACAATATATAGCTGTGGATGCTAGCATCAGCCTGCTATGTTAGCATGCTAGCGTTAGCCTGCTGTTTCTGGATCCCAGACCTGTGGCCTCTCTGTTCTTCAGGTTCCCAGTGAGGATGTGGCAGTGAGCATGCTCAGTGCGCTGATTGTCACCATGGAGTCAGTGGGTAGCAGCCCGGCCTGCAGCGAACAGAAAAACTGTACAGGCGACGATGAATCCAAAGACTACTGCTACTCAGCCCGGATCCGCAGCACGGTGCTGCAGGGGCTGCCGTTCGGAGGCGTGCCCACTGTGCTCGCCCTGGACTTCATGTGCTTCCTGGTGAGACTCGTCGCTACACCGAGCGGCGCGTTAGCAGAGCATTAGCAGAGATGCTATGCTCTGCTAATGCAGTTAGCATAACATCACCTGAGCTTTTAGCAGAACTGTTAGCACAGCATTAGCAGAAATGTTAGCAGAGCATTAGAAAAGCCATTAGCACAGCAACTAGTGTAGCATTAGCAGATCTGTTAGCACAGCCATTAGCAGATCATTAGCATGCTCTGCTAATGTGAGCTTCTGATTCTGAAATGCTGCTCAGATGGTTTCAGCAAGGAAAGCGTGTTTCTCTGGTTGGATCAGATAAATGTTATGCTAGGAAAGCTACATTTCTGTTTTGATTTCTGCTAATTACAAGCGAAGCAAACGGCTCCATGTTCTCAGCTGGTTGAGTTGCACAGAATGAAGGGAAAAATTACCCTCAGCTGAAAAGAGAAAAGGTTCAATCTGGAGAATCTACGCCTAGCTCCGTATTCAGCTCTACATGCTCTTCTTCATCATGCTCTTTTTCTTCAGGTGCTCCTCTTCGTCTTCTCCATCCTGAGGAAGGTTGCATGGGATTATGGCCGCCTAGCGCTGGTCACAGACGCAGACAGGTAAGCAGGAAGTGACTGGTTCCTGTGGTCTCAGCGGCGCCCCCTGGTGGCTGGGCTGCTGGCGTGTAAATGTCTCTGGAGAACGCTGGGTTGAGGATCAGGAACGTCTGGAGAAGCGGGAGGTTCTGCTTCAGTAACTTTTCCTCATCTTCCTCTTTTTCCTTCTTGAAGACTGAAGAAGCGTTTCAGCGACTTGGAGGAGCAGGAATAGTATGTTGCTGCCTGTCGGCTGTTTGGTTTGTCTGCTAACTCCTCCTCCTCTTTCTTCTTCTGCTGCTGCTTCCA